AAGGGTGTTTGATTTAATTTGTTAAAATATAAAAAAACAGGGAATTATTTAAAAGTGAGATGAGATTTAAAAGAATTATTAGATGAAAATGTGTTATCAAGAAATGTATAGGGGAATTTTGGTTGGTGTTTTGGGTAGAAAGAAACTTGGGTTTAACGACAAAGAAGGAAGAGAAGTGGGTGATTAGTAGTTCTGGTGTTTGCTTGGTGTGGATGAAGGAAGTTAGGGCTCAACGACATCAAATTTTGGCGTTTTGTGCTTCCAACTTGAGACCACCATGGCATGACCCCAATGGCCATGACTCGGTCATAATTCAACTTCTTATCCCTCCATTATAAGATATAACTTGTAAAGCAATTTACATGATATATCCTCCAAATAATATTTGATGAATTGAAATGAAATTTGCGTTGGGATTTCAACTTGTTGAATTTCAGGTTTCGTTAAAAGTATGGCGTAGGATAGAAGTTGACAAGTGGACGCTGGCTGTTTGACACGTGGCGTCTTCGTTTACCACCAGATTCATCACAGCACGGTGGCGGTGGTGGGTGTCCAGGTTGTGAGAGTTCGCCATGACGGAATCATGAAATCAGAATATAAGAATTATATATGTGTGGTTAATGCAGATATATAATTAATATGAAATAATGAATCGATGCACCCATGAACAAATAATAAGCATTTGGTACACGTGGCTCTACAAATACTTCAGACCTTCTGAAAATATCTCAGGTTAATGAGGATTAAATTAACCATTTGTGACGTAGATCTTTTGAAATATTTTCTTCCATTCTGTTTCCTTGGATATGGGTGAAATCAAGGTGTTAGCTGTGTAGTTCCCCCATTTTCAAATATAAACAAAATAATTAATTTCACACAGTTAAAAAATTATTAAATATAATAAATCTATTGAAATTAAAAATTTGAACTAAATTATTTTTATAATTAATAAAATAATTTTTTAATGAAAATGAATATCGACTTTACAGGGATAAATTAGGAAAAAATAATATGATATATTTCTTAAACTTGTAATTTTATTTATAAATAAAAATAAACTAATAAATAATAATTTTTTTATATCATAAAATGGAGCAATACCTGTGTCAAGGATTAATAGAAAACTGTAATGAACTCTTTTTTTCTGAGTATCCCTGTAAAAAAATATAACCAAATCTCACCCTTAATCACATTATTACTGTATTTTAAATTAACTCTTTTTTTATATTTATTTCTATTAAATACCCTATTAAAAAATATAAAATTATTATCAATATGTGCACTTTAGAAATAAAGCAATGGTTATATCTCAAAAAGATAAAAATAATTTATATTTTTGCCATCCAACTTCTCAATAATATTTTTTGACAGGGGGAAGTACTATCTATCCAATGGGTTCTAGAATTATCACAAAAGTTAGAACCATTGCTAAAACATTAAATTTAATTTTTAAAAAAAAAATTATTTTCTGTAGGTCAAAAACTTAAAATTTAGCTATCATTCTAACAAAATGATTTGCTATAAATATGTTTGAAAGTAGTGCATGTTAAAATTCTCTTTATTGGCGAACGAAAAAATGCATTCATTTCTAATTTTTGCTATGAATTTGTCAGAACCGGATTCTTTTAGAATTCTCCCCCTTACAGTCTCCCGGGGCACTGCATTCAAACCTTAAAATCATATCCAATATCCCATGTCTCACACCATTTCAAAAAAATTTAATTTAAAAAATAATTCTTTCATAATTTATTCACCACTAAATATATTTTTTATTATAATAATTCAAATTTATTTTTTTATTTTTATTTTTAAAACTTATTTTAAAAAAATTACTTTATATATTCTATTAAATAAGTCAAGTCAGAATTTAAATAAGTTAGACTGTAAGCTTCTATGAGCCTACTTAAATTTATGCTTTTAAAAAATATATAGAGTAGACTTGTAGGGAGGTGGCAATATTCTTAGTTTCTTCTTGTACATTTGGATTGTATTAATTTTGTCCCTTCTTAAATTGTGTTAAAAATAATAATAAACATATTTTTTCCTGCCATGTGCCATGGGTCAATTTTAAATGATAAAGATGAGGGAGTCATATACAATTACCTTAAAATTTTAAAAAGTTTTATTATGTTTTAGTGGATTAAATTATTTTAACATGGGATGATATGGGAAGTATAGGACATTGATCAATATGGCTTGAAGGGCTTGGATGTGAAACACGGCTGATGGATTTTGAGAAGGATTCTGTATGGCCAATTTGCATTTTCAGACCTTTCAATGTGTAGGGTAGGTATTTTAATTGCCACGTACTGTATTTGCATTAAAACTTGTCTAATCTTTTGTCTCTATCAAACTTTTAAGTTAAGGACAATAAATTAAATGTGAGAGATATAGAATCCTAAGATGGTCCTGAATATATATGTGTTAAATAAAAAAATTTAAACAACAATTAGAATTGATCATGACAACGCTTTATGACAATCATGAGAATATGCCTTAAATGCAAAATAAAAATGCTAATTTAAGTAGCTTAATTTTTTTTTTTAAGGAAAAACATTCGAGACCAGCTCTAAATATCTACATAAAAAGGAGACAGCAAGTACAAGAATGTTCAGAGCAACCAACATGGCTTGATTGTATGATTTAAGAAAGGATTATAAATATATGAACGTCAATGCAGACAAAGGGCAAAGCCAGCAAGTTCTTCGTGAAATGGTGCCTAGTTTTCTCCACTTTGTTCCGTCCTCCCTCTCTAGTATTCATTTGTGTACTATTTTTTGGAGGATTCGAATTTATTTGTCGGGGTAGAGAGAGAAAGAGGGGCAGGTGAGAGGGAAGTAAGTGGTGGCATTATTTCAAGGCAAAACAACACATAAAAAGAAAGGCTAAAATAAAAAGGGATATTGAAAAGGTGGAGTTTGGCCACTCAAGTGTCTCTTATTACCTCTGAGAAAGAAAAGAAACAAGAGAGGTGAAGTGAACGAGGGATAAGGGTATGACCAATTCCAACTAGTTGAACCACACTTTGAAAAATTCAGTGCTTTTGAGGCAATTTGACTCAGTCCTTTAATTGCCAACATCAATCAGAATCTGGCACCGAAATTCAAACATGACCGTTTTGGGTTTTGTAAAGCACAACTTATATGTATGAATCAATTTTTTTTTTTTTGGGCTTTGGGCATTGTTTTTTTCTAGTGCTCCTATTATCAATTTTTTTTAAATTTTCGATGCTTCATTAGAAACCAATGTGTTGGTTTGATTCATATTGATTGGATCCTTTTTCAGTGTGTACTTGGTACTTATAATTCCAACCTTCAGGATTTATGGAATTATTGTTAAAGACTTCATTTACACTCAAATCAGTTTTGTTCGTTTTTTTTTCCCCTTCGTTACTTAAGGGATTATTTTTCTTCACAATTTCTTAAAGGCAAGGAGTGTATGTTGCCTTCATTGCTTAAATGTTTAATTATTAATCAATCTATCACCCAATAAAATGAGCAACTTTCTGCCATTAATTCCAATTTTAATTATTAATTAATGTACTGGATGTGACCCTCCCCTCCCACTTACGTCACCATATAAGTATTAATTTTGCATTAAAACCCACAATATAATATATTAATTAATCATCTGGATGCATATTATATAGTATATTAACTGCTAAACTTCATTCATAAGTAAATCAAAAGTCATATAAGAATACAACCTAGAATAATCGTCGTGGTTACATTTGTAGGTTATTGTATGGGTTGGCTAATTAATTTCATTATTGGAAGGGAAAGAAGGTGCGCCGTTAATGTTAGGCTCAGTACTTGATGATTTCTTTAAGTCTGAACTAATTAAATCTCTTCTTACCCAAATTTATGATAACTACGTAACGTTGGATCCAATATGTCTCGTTACTTAATAAAAGTTGACAAAGTGATCGCTGCCTATAGCCAGATCAAGCTGCTGCTGTAAGATACACTATATGGCATAATACGTGCGCAAAATAAGAACATAGGCCTTTTTTTTGGTGGGGGGGTGCACATATTAATTGTATATGTCTTTTTTTTTGCCAATAATTATATATGTATTGAAGCATTTTGAACATAACTTCATGCAAAGTAAATATTATTATTTTATTAACTAGAAGTATTATAAATTATTTGAACATTGAAAGTATCCAAGTAAAGACGATAGTGTCATCAAATTTTTCTCTAGTCCTAATTATTAATTAATGACTTGTATGACTGTGCAAGTGGTAAACGCGTGAGTGAGAAACAATCTGTTATTGGCCACACACAGAGAGAGAGAGAGAGAGAGAGAGAGAGAGAGAGAGAGAGAGAGAACAATCTATTTACTGGAGCGGGTATCACTCTCCATTAAGAGGTTGTTCCTTGTTAACATGATGTCTAATTGTGATTAGTGATTGGTCATTAGTGCTGATCCTAGTTAGGTGGCTGTACCAACTTTCAACCTTGATTGATTGCGAGTAATAATTCAAGTTTTGAAGCCACGGGCTATGCAGCTTAATTATCCTTATTACTACCGAACTTGGGCTATATCAGGAGTAACAGCAATTTCGCAAATATTTAATTGTTAAATTCTAAATTTGTCTGCAAGGTGAGAAAGATGAGATATTGAAATTACCCCAAATGTCAATCACTAAACACTACTTACATGGGAGTACTGTCTTATATAATTTGAAGATTAGATTATTCTTAATACCATATTTGAAATTATATGGATGCAATTTTTTATTGGTACCCTAAGCACTACTTTCGTCCTTTTATCAAGTATACAGAAACCGAGAAAATCGTATCAAAATAAGGAAGCGTTTTATATAATACTAATTGGGTTCAATAGCATAAGGCATTTTTTTTTTAAATATCATGATTAAAAATATAAGACATTTTGAGTTTCTCAAGATCTAAGTGATAAGATTTTTCTAAAAATTCTCTTAATTAGAGGGTGTAAGTAATGTTTTTTAATTGAATTAACTAATTTAAACATGAAAAGAATATGTAATTTTAAATATTATTAACTAACTTATTGAGGGTATAAATTAGTTAAAAATGCCTTATAATTCTAAAGGGAATGGTTGAATTGTAAAATGTTTTGCAACTTTGTGACATCTTTCTCAGCATATGGTTTCCTTTTAGCTGATTGTTTCATCATCCACGTAAAATGTATTTATCTTCCACTGCACTCCAGCTAAACTTATTGCATTGTCTCGTAATCTTCATCCCCATCCATCACTTTCTGGACCATGTACGCGCTCCTCAGTCTTTGACTTTTTCAGCAACAGGTTAATATTGCCCACGTAACTGACCCTGATATTTTAACAAACCACTCTGTGTTATGGCTGTTGCTTCTCCTTCCAAATCTTTCTTTTTTGTTCGTCTATCTTCCCATGCCCATCCTGGGTTCCCAATACCCCTCTTGCAGCCAAAAAATTACAGAAAAGAACTCCAAAAGAAATAGAAGTGCCACTTATGGGATGCTCAAGTGAGTGGATGTGGCATGGGAAGAGATTGTTAGATAGGAACCAGTGAGAGCATCAGAAAAAGGTAAGAGATAAGACCTATACTTACAATGGCAAATCATAGAGGTGGACAGTATTATCATTGCATAAGCACAGCAAAATGGGCTTTCCTTGTGAATCATGCATCCCAATTCCCACGGAAGGTAAGTATGCCCTACAGATTATTCATGACATCATTAAAAAAGAAAAATCCCGATCCACAACAAAAGATTTCTCCAGGCACAATTAGTGTATGTTGTATAATTATTGATTAAACGTTTTTCCACAAACACGGAATATTAAAATATAATACACAATATGAGAAAAATTAAATGATTTTGGTGGCACAGTAAAAAGCTAAGACACGTAAAAGTCGATTCGGTCAGGTCCTCCAAGGATTGCAGGTGAAAACATGTCTTTTCAATATCAGAAACTTAAGTAGCCTCTTATATATTATGGCGATAAGTTTGACATAAAATAATAATTATCTGATGCATGAATGACGTTTATCTCCTTGAGATTCTAACTTATCAAAGACATTCCAACTTGGACATGAAATATCCTTTAAGATTCCAGGGAAACAGAAGAAGACAAATAAATTCAAACATACATGTTTTTCAATGTGTGCATGAGTCACTTCCAAGTTTCCGCTTTCATTAGCAATCCACACCTGCACAAGCCAAAAGAAATCATGCCAACTTTTTGGTGGATACATACAAATCTTAACTATAGTCAAATACATATAATATCAGCAAATAATGTTAAGCCAACCTTTTAGCATGTTTGGTATGCAGAAAAGTATTTTTTAGAAAGGAATTGGGACCTGTGCCTGCAAAGAAAATGGGATAAGTACATTCCTCATTTCCATTTTACAAATTACTTTTCTACCAACCAAACATTACATTGGTGTTTTGTCCAGTAAACCGGACAAGAGATAATGGTCAAAACAAAGAAGAGACATCACAACAGATGTGTGCCCTGTTATTGTCTGCAAACACTGCAAAGTTCCAAAATTCGAGACCTGAAAGACAGCAGTAAGTTGGAAATTGGAGGAGACAAAATGAATCACATAAACACAAAAAATGCCATTATTGCATTGCCTTGAAAGAGTCTAGAGCAAACTCCAGAGACAAAGTTATGGGAGAGGGCCTATAATAACTATACAAGCTTACTCTTGTTGTATCGTCCATGGAACCAGAAGGAAACCGATTAGCTCCAATAACTGACGAAACAAACGCTAGGGAATGCCCTTCATGAGATGCAACTGGCTCAAAACACTGGGTGGCGACATTAAACTTCCAGGCCAATATAGACCCATCCTGTAAAAGTACATTTAAGGTTAAAAACTAGCTGACATTCAAAAGTCAGTAGCGAGAAATAGACGGGGAAAACCTTCATTAAGAAGCAAGGCTTCAAGATGAGGATTCAAATTCCATAAAACAAACATGAACAGGACCAATTGTCAAGCAAAAATATTTAGCCCACTACTTCTGGGAGAATTTACAATACTATTATCAATTTAGTCTTGAAGAACAATAAGACACATCATGTGTTCTCACAGCATAACCTGAATTTGAATTTTAAAACTTAATTTAAAAAGATTTTACGTCATAAGTGTAACATCTTTCACCAATTCTATATCGTCTGAAGTAACACCTCCACTCCTTAAAGACACACATCAAATAACTACTTTCAATAATGTCATACTTAGCCTCCTGCTCATCCCCCTTCAACTATCCTGGTTGATTTGGAGAATGCTACCCAATAAAATTAAAACAAATAACATGTTGTGGAATCTTATGTTTGTATTGTGCTCACGAACAGAATTACAGAATTGTAGCTCAGTCACTTCTACATCTCCACGTGGCCACTTCCATGTGGAACAAGTTGTTTAGGGTCTTTGATGAGAATGGCGTTTGTCTGCAGAATGGACCATTTTTTGCAGTCACTTAAGAGTTGAGGCACTCCACTATTCCATATCTGAAGTTAATATAAATTTATTATAACAGTGATCAAATCAAGTATTCCATTTTTGCTTAAAAATGCTACAAAACAGAACTAAAAACCCTGAAAAACTCAAGTAATTATTATAAACTGAAAATATATAAGATCAATTAGCCTCATCTGAACTTTCTTTAGGTACGACCAATTAAACACAATGGCAGCCGCATCTAGATTGCGAGAAAAACTAATTGCATAAGTAGTCTAACTCAATCTTGTAAAATATTTAATATGAAGCTGATGTAAAACACAAACACTCACGCTCACACTGATTTGAACAGAATAGGATAAGGGAGAAGAAACAGAAACAGAGAGTGGGAGGTGGAGGGGAAGTGAGAACAGAGAAGGTGAAAAGAGAGAGAAGTGACTGAAATATAAGAGGGAGAACAGAAGAGAGATGCAGAACTGAATAGAGAGAGGGAGCTTTCAGAAAATCATAATGCTTCAAACATTCATTCCCCTTCTTGAATACAAGTCATGCTATTTATAAGCATGAGGTTTCCTTCCTAACAAGGAAACATCCACTTGCTTCCTAGTTTCCTTCACAACAAGGAAACTTACAAAAGTTAATAAACTAATGAAAAGTAATAAGAATCCACTTGCTGCTTGGTTTCCTTCACAAGAAGGAAACTTACAAAAGTTAAATGAAAACAACAAAACTAATAAACTAATGAAAGGCAATAAGAAGTAATAAATTATTTCCTCCTAAAGTAATATTTGCCATATTTTCTATCAGAAGCATTGCTGTTTATTTTCTGCTCTCATTGCCAGTGACCAAGGCAACACTCTTGAAAATTGAGAAGGCTAATTACTCTCTTCACTAACAGAAAATTTAAATACTGTTGTGTAAGTAAAAGATAGAAAATGCTGTCTCCCTTTATGAAAAAAAAGTAACTCGTAATTCTACAATTTCAGACTTGTTTCTCAACGTATAAGCCAAGCCCAATTTGATAATGGGGGAATCTGGAATTTTACTAATGGACGGTTACTGATGTAACACATACTCACACACACTCATTCAAACACAAACAGTGAGGAAATGGGAGAGAGAAGCAGAACAGAAAAGGATACAAAGGAGAACGAGAGACAGGGAAGGAGAGATTAGAGGAGGGAATCTGAAACAGAGAGGGAGAGGGAAGAACTATAGAAACAGAGAGGGAGAGGGAGAACGAGAAAGAGAGGGAGTGGGGAGGGGGAGAGACAGAACTGAAGGGGAGAGAGCTTTCAGAAGTTAACCCATAATATTCATTTATTCAGCCAAAAGTCCCCTTACAAGAGCAAAGCCTAGTCTATTTAAGCCAAAGTTGCCTACCTACTAAGGAACCTTAATCACTCATCCATATAAAGCCACTTTTCCAATTTCCTTTTGCAAAATATTAAAATAACACAAAGGACACAGCATATGAAAATAACACAAGAAAACATATTTTTTCCTAAAATAATAATAATCTATTAGCCTAGGTTTCTTCAAAATATATTAATTCTTATATTTTATCATTCTCCCCTGCTTGATGGAACTCTCCTCCAGAGGAAAAAAAAAAAGTTGATGTAATTTCACTAGAGTGCGATCCAGGGAATTCCTCCCAGTAACAACTAATCTAGAGATACTTTTGAACATGCACACTCACACACACTCATTCAAACATAAACAGTGAGGAAATGGGAGAGGGAAGCAGAACAGAAAAGGATATAAAGGAGAACGAGGGACAGGGAAGGAGAGATTAGAGGGGGAAATCTGAAATAGAGAGGAAGAGAGGGAAGAACAAGAAACAGAGGGAGGGTTGGGGGGGGGGGAGATAGAACTGAAGGGGGAGAGAGCTTTCAGAAGTTAACCCATAATATTCATTTATTCAGCCAAAAGTCCCCTTACAAGAGCAAAGCCTAGTCTATTTAAACTAAAGTTGCCTGCCTATTAAGGAAACCTTAATCACTCATCCATATAAAGCCACTTTTCCGATTTCCTTTTACAAAATATTAAAATAACACAAAGGACACAGCATATTAAAATAACACAAGAAAACATATTTCTTCCAAAAATAATAATAATCTACTAGCCTAGGTTTCTTCAAAATATATTAATTCTTATACTTCATCAGTTGCCACTTCATATGTAATTAGTTCAAAGTTCTAAAGTGTAATTAGTCTAGAATTCTTTCAATATAAAACCAATAACTTATGCTTAGGGTCAAGCATACCTGCTTGATCAAGAAAGGGTATCAATATGCCCCCCAAGGGGGATATGATTGGTAAGGATGTTTAATAGTACGTGAATATCCTCATTTTGTGGATGGCTGCTATCTCCAACTACAAATTCATGATTCTTACCATTGATCCTTATTAGACTTGAACCTGGAGACTTGCTTATTCCTTTCTCCTTCATGAACCTCCTCACTTTTCTTACTTCTACCCATTTCTCATTAGTTGCATATAGATTAGATAGAAGCACATATACGCCACTATCTTGGTATTCAAAATCATAGAGATATTTTATCATGTTTTGAGAAATCCCTACATTCCCATAAGCATTACAAGAACTCAAAAGAGCTCCTACAATCTGCACATCAGGCGCCATTGGCATTGTCTTTATCAAGTCAAGAGCTTCCCCCACCAATCCAGCCCGACAGAGTAGATCAACCATACATCCATAGTGTTCTAACCAGGGAGAAAGACTGTAGCTTCGATCTGTCATATGATGGAAGTACCTACGGCCTTCTTCTACCAAGCCAGAATGGCAACAAGCTGTCAAAACAGCAAGAAATGTCACCTCATTTGGATTTGCTCCAGATTCAATCATCTCTTCAAATTGTTTCAGTGCCTCTTGCCCATATCCATTTATTGCTAGACCACCTAAAAAAGCATTCCACGTTTTGAACATTCCTAATAGGCATCACATTGAAAATCCGCTGTGCCATCTCTACACAACCACATTTTGCATACATGTCAATCAGTGCTGTTCCTATATAAACGTCCCATTTGATATGGTTACGTTCAATGTATCCATGGACCCAAATGCCATAATCAAGAAGTCCAAGGCTTGCACAAGCTGAAAGCGCACTGGTCAATATAATCCTGTCAGGTTTAAAACTATAGTTCTGAATTTCACAGAACAAGTCCAGTGATTCCTTGGGTCGTTGACATTGCACCAACCCACGGATCATAGTAGTCCAAGAAATAATATCTTTTTCAGGGAGCTCATCGAATATTTGCTTTGCTTCAGATGGAGACTCGCACTTCATATACATATCCATCAAAGCATTACCCAAGATCAATTCCATTACACACGGAAGTTTTGAAATCTTTCCATGAATCCCCTTCCCTAAATTTACATCAAGCAATTTCCCAGAAGCTACAAGTATGCTAACAAATGTGGCTACATTAGGCTCCACGTCCATTCTTGAAAACAATGCGATGGCCTCATTAGGCAAGCTTGCCTTCACATATCCAGATATCAACCCAGTCCAAGAGACCACATCTCTCACAAGCATATCATCGAACACCTTATCTGCACCAATACAGTCACCACAAGTGCCATAAACATGCACTAGGGTGTTCTGCACAAAAAAATCACACCATAAGCCAGTCTTGACAGCAACTGAATGAAACTGCCTAACCTCCCTAATCCCCGAAAACTTAGCACAGGATTTCAAAACTGCCGGCACAGTATAGACATCAGGCACAAACCCATTTCCAACAGTCGACCTATACACTAAAATCGCGGCCCAGGGGATGTCACCGGAAGCGTAACCAGAAATCAGCAAATTGCATGGGAAAGAGCTCGAGCTCCAATCATAATGTTTCAAGAAATTGCATGCGTAATCGATCTCACTGACATGTTTTCCGAAAAAGTTGGCAGCTTTTGTAATCACTAAGTCGTTACTAGCAAGACTAGAAGTTAATAGATGTGCATGGATTTGCTTGAACGTCCTTAAGTCATTACACCTATTCAGGAAATCTAGGAGAACCCATTTCAGAGAATGCGTAGCGTTGTTCATGCCAGCGATCACATGACAATCTCCATTACAATCTGGGTGGTTTTTTGGCTAGCACCGGTGGGAGTAGGAGCTTGTTACTATCACCAACAGGATCTGATTCTCTATTAGTTTCAACTTTCAACATTGTGACGAGCACAAGACATTTTTTATACTGCAAGAAAAATGTATTTTCCATGAGCAACAAGCAAGAAAAATCAAAATCAAAATCAAAATCAGCCCGCGAAAATAACAACTTCACACAATTTTTCTACATTCACTATTCAGCCAGTGACCCAGCGAAAATCACGGCACAGCCAGTATCAGCCATTCACATTCTTAAATCAATTGAAACAGAAGCTAGAGATCAGAATATTGTATTAGCACCTTGGTGAGGAGACTAAGCGAGAGAGAGCAATCTGATGGAAGGTGCCGTCGTTGTCCAATGGAGTCTGATAAAGCCGATGGACGGTGCTTTCGTGCGCGAGCCTGAGCAATCCGAGGAGCCTCAGCAATGTGATGCAATGAGTGAGGGAGAGAGAGCGAGGAGCTGAGAGGGAGGGTGCCGCCAGCGTGAGAAAGAATGACAGAGAGCGAGGTGCCGGCAAGATGAAGAATGACAGAGAGCGTGGGTGCCGCGAGCGAGAGCCCGAGCGTGACGAAGAGTTGAGACGCCGCCGCGGGCGAGAGACTGGGGAGAGTCGAGAGTTTTTAGTTTTGACACTTCCAGCTGAGGAAGAGAATATTTTTTAAAAAAAAATTACAAATAAATCTCGTGTAAAAAAATTAAATAAGTCATACAAATTTGTGAAAATTACTCTAAACCTATTTGGATGCTTCTATAATCAATTATGGGATTCAAAACAAATGGTTTTAAAAAAGTCATTCAAACGCCCTCAATTTTTTTCAAACTCCACATGGTTACCAAAACTTCATTGTGCATGAGCTAATTTTTTTTGTAAATTAATTTTGCAAAATCAATTTTAAAAAGCTTTATTCAATATCATTATGTTCTATTAATCAATTTTTGCATAATCATTTTTTACGAATCTAAACATAAGTTACTTGGTTGTGATTAATTGATAAAATTACAAGAAAGTCCCTCACAACCATTCAAGACATTCACAAATTCATAAATACATATGAGGTATGAATAAGATTAAAATGACAATTGTCAATTTACGTTCCAAGAATTGAAGGGAAAGAAGAGGAAAGAAAGTCATTTCGCTTATGACGCCGGACTTTCTTGCAAGTAAGCTGATTTCAACGTCATAATCAAAAAGTAGCTCCGTTGTAGCTCGTGGGAGATCGCCAATGGCAAGAAGCCTCACTGCAAAATGGGATTAGATTGCCTTACAGTCGTTACGCTCACAACTATTTTACATCAGCAAATAATAAAAAAAATAATAAGTTTTTAGTTGAAAGATAATTTTACTTCTAAAAAAATTATTTAAAAAATATTATCCTATCTTTCAGTATAGTTTGTCTAATACTTTTAAAAAAGAGTTTAGAAAAAAAAATTATCTTTAACTTGAATTTTAGAGCTCAAGTTTAAAAATATGATAAAATACAGGGAAAACAAGTAGCTCCAAATTTTTAACTTTAACTACTCCTTTTAATCCTGTTTAAAAAGCAGAAAGAGATTTTTTTTCTTGTCCTCTTATAAATCATCTCATTAAATTTTTATCATAAAATTTTTCATTTACCCTCCCTTAAATGTCTGAGAGAAATAATATGTTATTAAAATATATATATTTAATAAAAATAAAGCTAAAAAATTATTAAATTTATAGATAAAGTTAATAAATTTTAAAATTTTTCTCATTTTAGTAAAACATATTGAAAGTAATTTATAGATAAGATTAGAAGAATAAATGTATATAAATAAATAAATTTCTCCTTTTGATGTGATCCTATGTGACAATAAAGTCCTAAATTACAGCATTTGTGGCAATCTAGTCTTAGGTGGCATCACAGGTCATCAATTCACCCAAAGCCAACTAATCCAAATAGTTAAGACCAAGTGAGGATATTAAAGCTACAATATGCACTAGAAGTTTAATTCACTATATTAAAAGCCCAATATACAAGTACACATTAGGAGGAGATGAGTTGAGCTATAATCATGCACATTGAAGCCCAAATACACATCTTAATGTACCGTGGAAATTTATGAGCGTGAACAGTACACGGAAGAGTTTTAATGAGAACAATGAAGGCTTTCGTGGGTTGTTGAAAGGCATTGCACGAAGGCCCACGAAGGCCAATCCATTTAGTCCAATTAAAATTCATTTATGTCACTTTGGTTTCAGTTTTTTCTATTTTTCAATGTTTTCATATCTATTTTTTTAAGTTTTTCTTATGGTTAAAATGCATAAAACTATTTTAAATTTTAAAATAATTGCATATAACTCCCTTATATTTAAATGTTTAAAATTAATGTCTTCACCTTTGATTTTGTTTTTTAAACCCCTATCATTAATTGCACTGTTGTGTTGTTAACAATTAACAAATTTTGCTATATCAGATTTAAAAAAGCTAAATAAAAGCTTATGTGGCATCTTATGTGAGCAAATAATAAACTTATAAAAATTATATTTTTTTCATAAAGTTTAGAATATTATTTATCTTAAAAAAAAACATTGATACCTTCCCATCTCACCACCCTTCAATTTCTTTTCTTTTTTTTTATAGTTGAGGCATTGATAGGAAAAAAATTATTATCACCATAAATTTTTAAATATTTACTTTTGTATTATTTTCTTGCATTACAACCTTACAGGATAAATTTTTATTTATATAATTCTTATCAATTACAACTTTTAAATATTTTTATTTTCGCTTGTTTAATCTAAAAGGCTGTTTTAATAGTAAAAGTATAGTTTTTCTCTTAAATTGTATTAACAATGAACAGTGAGAATATTGTCACTCAACTAAAAAAAATAAAGCATAACCATGTGTGTTAGAAATGAAAATTACAATTTTGCTCTCCTTAAATTGCGTTAAAAAATAATAAAAAAGTTTTTCTACATTGTGTACTATGTGTATTGAGTTAATCTGACAAAACTCTATTAATAACATAATAGAACTAATTAATAATTGGGAGCTTTAAAAAATAAAATTAAAATTTATGACAGTTAATTTTAAATATTTAAAAGTGAGGAAATAATCTTCAACTGCATCAAAGTTTATAAAAGTTTTATACAATTTGGCTTTTTTTTAAAAAAAAATGGCATTTTTAGCCCTAATAGCCTATTATAGTTTTTGGGCTTACATTGCCCTTTAGTGTTTTCAAACTAGGGTTTTCTCAAGAGTCCTAAGATAGTTAGAGTCAAGGTATTCTTTTATAAATACCTCTCTATTTTCTAAGAATACATTGAATTGATTAATATAGTTTTAAACTTCATTTAAATCTATGAGGCTATTTTAATTAGTGTCATTTCTTATGAAATTTTGGATTATCATGAGTTATCATTTATTACTGCTATCATCCTTTGTAATTTTTTAAAATTTTATTATACAAATCATCATGCTTTCAGCCAGCAGGCTGAAGATATAAGAAGTCTTGTTACATGTGATTGGAAGATAACAAATAACCACATGTATGGATTTGCTTTTACCATGTCCATAAAACCGATAATGAATCAAGTGATGTTGTGACCTCCAAAACAACGTAGAAATATTATCAGCTAGAATTTGAACACAATGATCATAGAATTTGCATTGAGGCCTCAAAAAAATTTGCTTATACTGTACATAATTCCGTTCATTATTTTTACTTTTAAGTGTTACTATTAATTACATATTTCCATTAAGAATTCTTTGTCCCGTGTTTTGATGTATCTGTCAATCTCATTTCCTAATATCAATTAGCCATTCAGAGAGGTAACATTAACATACTGCCACAATATTTAGAATGGATAGGGACCGCTTTGTTAACGTCTAACAATTCTCATTTATCTCTCCCTTTCAATCGAATTGCTGTTATCATCATTTTCTCTTTGAAAGCAAATATCATGCTGCTCAAACCTGTTGCATTGTCACTGCCAAATAATTTTTGCTTATTGGAATTTTTAGCTTGCAATCTAATTGAAATTAAAACAAAAAACACTAATCATAGATTTAAGGTAGCAGCCACATCAGGTGTATTTGTTACACTTTTACTATTTATATTACTTTTTAATTGAGATTATGAATTTTTTATAATATTTTATAACATTCAAAATGGTAAGTGTTAATAAAAAATTTGAATACACAAGGCCTCTTAGTATAATTTTGTCTTAGGCCCTAGAACTTCTTCGCACGGCCTGATCATAGGCCTCTCTTCAGGTCTTTTACTTCTTATCCAAAGGTCTTTTATTTCTTATCCTAGCATGTCCCTTATGCGTGTGCGCGCGCCCGCATGCGAAGTTAGTATGCAAGTTTACCTATAAAGATTTTTGTATCTGTAATGGAAACTAAACATCTATTAAGTAATAGTTGCAGATCTCATCTAATATGTTAGGTGTAAATAGGTTGGATACAAAAACATTCATGAGGTAATATAGTATGATGCAATTTTGTCCATCAATTATTAAAATGGTACAACAATCTCTAATCAATTGCAAAAGTATATGTTATTTGAATGTTGATTGTGAATGTCAGAAATATTAATATTAAATGTTGATTGTGAATATTAGAAATATTAATATATTACTTGACTTAAAGTGCAAAATTGTATATAATGCATGATGAATATTTTTGTCATTGACCCATTTACACGTGGCAAATTATAAGGTTAAGGCTCAATTTTATTTTTATACTTATTTTTGAGGAGTGTAGGACATCATATACTCTTAAGTGAGGCAATTCTCTCTCGAAATTATTTTTTTTTAGAGCAAAAAAATGCCCGGTTGTTAGTTTGCCATTAAATATTCCATTTTTTTATGATTTGTTATTATGTGGGACCTAACAAATTGTCAAAGGCTAGAGAAGGTAACAGCAAGTCGTCTTCCTCCTTCACATTTGTCAATCGCAATGGAGAGTATGTGCGCTTCATTCGTTCCCTTTATCTTCCGTCCTTATATCATTCATTTGACCAATCCATATGAAGAGCTTATCCCACCTCAACTTCTTTTTTCATCTATTACCTTCCTTATGGGTGGACATCGCTACATTTAAGGTGAAGATCGAAGGTGGCTTCCTTGTGTCTAAACTCAGAGGACGGGCCAGTAGCATGAAATGATATAAGTCTTCTTTAAGAGAGAGATTTAAAGATTGTTGTCCAATTTGATGAAGTTCAAATGGTTTCTGGCATTTTGCTTTTTACTAGTATCTCCATGCTGTGTAGATTTTCTATTTCTAACAAGAAGAGAGACAAAAATTAACTCTTGACCGAGCTTTTGGGGAGTTATGGTGCTTTGATTGCTCCTCTCTCTATTGTTGAATTTATTTCTTCCAATAAAGATAGAAAGAGGTATATTGGGTTTAAGAATTTGATGCTTATTCTCATTATTGTCGCTACATGACATGTTGGACTTGCATATATATCCTTTTGAAAGTTGTCTATCCCATTATGTTCTTAATGGACACTCCCACTCTTCCTCATGCCACTTTCATGAAATAACAAAAACTTTAAACTTTAATGTTTGAAATCTTCATGCAGCCATCATACTTTAAAAGAGGGTGGGGAGGGGAGAGATTGATTATGAGATTTAAGATGATATGG